TTTTAATTTACTTTTTTGATTTAGGAGGAAAGGGTTCTAATCCCTATCAGGTTTTTTTTTGCTGTTCGCGTCCTGTTGGGGAGATTTCCCTTCTCTCAATGGGGTTGATTTACTAAAACTGGAGAGTGAAAAATCTGGTGCAGCTCTGCATAAAAACCAATCAGCTTCCAGGTTTGTTTATCAAAGCTTAATTGAACAAGCTGAAGTTAGACGCTGATTGGCAATCATGCACAGCTGCACCCGATTTTGCACTCTCCAGTTTTAGTAAATCTACCCCTATGCCTGATAAAACCCAGGGGCGTATTTTACTGCGAGGCATTTTTCAAGGGTGGCGGCATCGCCCCCCAGAAGAACGGACACAGGTGGCAGTCGACAGTGGATGGGGAACAGGTGAGGCAGTATCTGAGCCATGCCATGGGACCTGAGAGAGGCTGTGGGCTGCTGGAGGATGTAGGTAGAGACCAACTCTCATTCCCACACAAGGACGACATTGGGTTTTCCTGACCAGTGCTGGGACAAGGTCATCTAGAGCTAAAGGCAAACATGTCAAATTGTGCACTCCCCAAGTTGTTTGAGCATTATGTGTGAGCAGAAATGCCCCCCTCCCAAAAGTAATCAAGCAATAATTGCATGCTTACCCCCTAAGTATACATTTCCTGTCCGCTCAGAACAAATTTGCCCCCCTGCTGAAATCCCTCCTCCCGAGCCCCCAGCTCAGATCTTCACTTCCCCATGTGTCCCCAGCACAAATTCCTACCAAAATTTCCCCCTCCTAGCACATATCCTCTAGCCCTCCAATTTCCCCTCCTAGCACAAATCCTCTAACCCTCCAATTTCCCTTCCGATCACAAATCCCACCCCCCACACACACACCCACACACACACACACTCCTTACCCCCCCCCCCCCAGCACACATTCCCCACCCCTGCTCAGATCTTCTCTTTCTCCATGTGTCCCCAGCACAAATCCCCACCAAAATTTCCCCCTCCTAGCACAAATCCTCTAACCCTCCAATTTCCCTTCCGATCACAAATCCCCCCCCACACACACACTCCTTACCCCCCCTCCCAGCACACATTCCCCACCTCAGCTCAGATCTTCTCTTCCCCCATGTGTCCCCAGGACAAATACCTACCAAAATTTCCCCCTCCTAGCACAAATCCTCTAACTCTCCAATTTCCCCTCCTAGCACAAATCCTCTAACCCTCCAATTTCCCTTCCGATCACAAATCCCCCCCCCCCCCCACACAAACACACGCACACACTCCTTACCCCCCCCCCCCCAGCACAAATACCCCCCCAATCACCCCTACTAGAACAACCCCCCCCTAGCACAAATCCACTTCCCCCCCACCATATGACCTTTTCTAGCGCAAACCTCCCAATTCCCCCTCCCAAGCAAAAATCCTTTTCCCCTATCCCCACACACAAATCTACTCAAATCACCACTCACCCCACAAAATTTCCCCTCCTAGAACAATTCTTACCCCCTGCCACCCCCAAAATTTCCCCTCCCAACCAGGGGCGGACTGACAATTCATGGGGCCACCGGGCAATAGGGGATCATGGGGCCCCTGTGTCCTTGCCCAAACTCAAAAAAGCCTATGAAAAAGGTACCAGGGGCATCTCATGGGGCCCCCTACTGACCCTGTGCCTGAGTTTCCAAATGGTCAGTCTGCGACTGCTCATAACACAAATCTCCTCCCCCCAAACTCCTCCTGGTGCCTTCACACCTCACATGATACCACAGTGCCCGGAGCAGTCATCCCTAATGCCCACCCCTTGTCTCGGCCCTGTTCCTGACCATGTCTCCAGGGTTGGCCAGCTGCTGAAGGAACGTCTCTCCTCCCTCTCCTTTTTTACAATGTGTTTGGGGGCAGGGGGGGAGTGGGACACCCAATTTTAATGTTGCCTAGGGCAGCACAAAAACAAAATACAACACTGGATAAACCCAGCAGGAAATGTCTCCAAAGTGTACAAAATTCTCATCACAGGAATATAGGAGAATTTCCTTTCACCTCTTGCTTTGGTAAAGACTCACAATTTTTGGATTGCCCCACACTTTCTTGTTTCAGTGACAATAGCCACCAGGCCAAACAGGGGACTAAATTTCCCTAGCAGAGTCATAGATAGCAATAAAAAATCGACAAATGGTCTAACCCTTTTCTATGCTTCTTAAAACAAAAAAGGAAAAAAATGCCTTTACATACATTTCAAATAAAGTAGATAATCTGCAATATATGTTTGCAAATGAATAATTGAAAAAATGTGGCATAGACTTGGCTGTACTGAGACCGCAGAATGGGAAGCCACTCGTTCGCACTCCTTCAAACCATTTTCTACTTAAGCCGCCATCGTTATCACCCAACGTTACAACAAGGTGAAAGGATTTATCCTTTTCTTACAGGGAGTGGGAGATTTTTTCCATACGTAATGATAATGAGCAAGTTTATGACGCAGAGCTATAAGAATTTCATGATACATCTGGTGAATGGTGAAAACTAAAAATAGCAACGTATATTAGCAGAAGCACATTTTTCAAAGCAATGGCCATTCCTGGAAGTCAGGAACAGTTGGCAGCTCTGGCGTAAGCTCCAGTACGACGGGGACCGATGAATGTGTCCTCTGTAAAGCACTATATCAGCGCTGTACGAATACATGTAATAAATATGATTTGGCCACATCCTGTTTTGCAAGCTAGCATGCCTTACTGCACAGTGTAACCAGCTAAACGGGCAACAGACAGATAATATCTCCCATTATTGTTAGTGACGACCCTGAACCAGTGAGCCCTGTGGGTTAACCCGTGAATGCCTTCTCACCTTTGGTTTGGCTCCGGTGCCAAGGTCGCATACTGCCAAGACAGCTAAGAAAACAGCTATGAGTTGCAGCCAGCTTCCTGCCATCACTAGGATGATCTTCAACGCTTATTGGTATCTGCAAAAATATACTATGTAGCGGCCTTATAGAGGGAGGAAGGGGATGTCCCCACCACAGTTTCCTTTGTAATACCTGTTCGGGAGGGGATGGCGTGACGTGGAAAGGGGACCTCCCGTCAAGGTTGGGGAAATTACCATAAAAAGATTTAGGACATATCTTAAAAATGTCACGATCAAATTACTCTTAAAAAATTATTAAAATAAAAATCCAGTCAAACTAAAGATAAATACATAGCTGAGTAATATATATGAACTTTAAGAAGACTTTAAGAAGGGGAGCTTGGTTTTCCCATTTGAGGCACCTTTTCTATGTATTACCGTGGAGATGCCAACAGTATAGTGTGCTCTTGTGTAGGCTCCATTAAAATATATGGAGAAGGCACCCAACTCTAGAGTCTATTTTCCATGTTTTCCTATAGAGATGCCATCCTTATAGTGCACCCCACAGTAGAGTCTTCATAAGAATATAGTAGAATGTAGTCCTCTCTGGGACACTCACCATGTTTTCCTATAGAGATGCCATCCTTATAGTGCACCCCGCAGTAGAGTCTTCATAAGAATATAGTAGAATGTAGTCCTCTCTGGGACACTCACCATGTTTTCCTATAGAGATGCCATCCTTATAGTGCACCCCGCAGTAGATTCTTCATAAGAATATAGTAGAATGTAGTCCTCTCTGGGACACTCACCATGTTTTCCTATAGAGATGCCATCCTTATAGTGCACCCCGCAGTAGAGTCTTCATAAGAATATAGTAGAATGTAGTCCTCTCTGGGACACTCACCATGTTTTCCTATAGAGATGCCATCCTTATAGTGCACCCCGCAGTAGATTCTTCATAAGAATATAGTAGAATGTAGTCCTCTCTGGGACACTCACCATGTTTTCCTATAGAGATGCCATCCTTATAGTGCACCCCGCAGTAGAGTCTTCATAAGAATATAGTAGAATGTAGTCCTCTCTGGGACACTCACCATGTTTTCCTATAGAGATGCCATCCTTATAGTGCACCCCGCAGTAGAGTCTTCATAAGAATATAATAGAATGTAGTCCTCTCTGGGACACTCACCATGTTTTCATTTTGAGATGCCAGCATTATACTACCTCTAGTGGAGTCTCCTTAGGAAGAGAAGTAGAATGCACTTCTCACTGCAACACTCGTACACTATTCCTAGGGAGATGCCTGCATTATAGTGCCGCTAATAGGGTCTCCTTAAAAAAAAATTTAAAGAATGCTCTAATTTTTCAGGCAAATTCTCCATATATTCCTATTACTTCCTATTAATTATTTCTGTGGACAGCAGCACTCAAAGACACCCAATATCAATGCACTGAATATACTGTACACTCACTGACCACTTTATTAGGTACACCTGTTCAATTGCTTGGTAACATAAATTGCTAATGAGCCAATCACATGGCAGCAACTTAATGCATTTAGGCATCTAGAATTAGTGAAGATGACTTTGGACAAACCGAGCATCAGAATGGGGAGAAAGGGGATTTAAGTGACTTTGAACATGGCATGGTTGTTGGTGCCAGATGGGCTGGTCTGAGTATTTAAAAAACTGCTGATCTACTGGGATTTTCACGCACAACCATCTCCAGGGTTTACAGAAAATGGTCCGAAAAAAAGAAAATATCCAGTGAGTGGCAGTTGTGTGGATGAAAATGCCTTGTTGATGTCAGAGGTCAGAGGAGAATAGGTAGACTGGTTGCTGCGACATTCAGATGGTAGAGCCAGAATTTGGTGTAAAAGCATGGATTCCTCCTGCCTTGTATCAACGGTTCAGGCTGGTGGTGTAATGGTTTGGGGGATATTTTCTTGGCACTAGCAAGGTGTACCTAATAAAGTGGCCCTCGGCATCCTCATGTCCAATGCAGGGCCCTGCATCGGTCTTGGTGATGTTAGGAAGTTAGAGCACTGGAGCATGGGGGAGAACACACCTCAGGGAATGGTCTAGCTCAATGGAGGATTGGATAAGTAAATTGTCTTTTCCATGCTCCAAGACATGGTAAGATCTAGGGGGGTGCTGGGATGGGCTCTGCTCCCCAGATTTTAGTTGTGCCCCCTCCAAAGCCAGCAGTGACCTCTGTCCTCTGCCCTGCCAGCAGTGACCCCTGTCCTCTGCCCTGCCAGCAGTGACCCCTGTCCTCTGTCCTGCAAGCAGTGACCCCTGTCCTTTGCCCTGCCAGAAATGACCCCTGTCCTCTGTCCTGCCAGCAGTGACCCCTGTCCTCTGTCCTGCAAGCAGTGACCCCTGTCCTTTGCCCTGCCAGCAATGACCCCTGTCCTCTGTCCTGCAAGCAGTGACCCCTGTCCTTTGCCCTGCCAGAAATGACCCCTGTCCCCTGTCCTGCCAGCAGTGACCCCTGTCCTCTGTCCTGCAAGCAGTGACCCCTGTCCTCTGCCCTGCCAGCAGTGACCCCTGTCCTCTGTCCTGCAAGCAGTGACCCATGTCCTTTGCCCTGCCAGCAATGACCCCTGTCCTCTGTCCTGCAAGCAGTGACCCCTGTCCTTTGCCCTGCCAGCAGTGACCCCTGTCCTCTGTCCTAAAAGCAGTAACCCCTGTCCTTTGCCGTGCCAGCAGTAACCCCTGTCCTTTGCCCTGCAAGCAGTGACCCCTGTCCTCTGACCTGCCAGCAGTGACCCCTGTCCTCTGACCTGCAAGCAGTAACTCCTTTCCTCTGCCCTGCCAGCAGTGACTCCTGTCCTCTGCCCTGCCAGCAGTGACCTCTGTCCTCTGACCTGCCAGCAGTGACCCCTGTCCTCTGCCCTGCAAGCAGTGACTCCTTTCCTCTGCCCTGCAAACAGTGACTCCTTTCCTCTGCCCTGCCAGCAGTGACTCCTTTCCTTTGCCCTGCTAGCAGTGACTCCTGTCCTCTGCCCTGCCAGCAGTGACTCCTGTCCTCTGCCCTGCCAGCAGTGACCTCTGTCCTCTGACCTGCCAGCAGTGACCCCTGTCCTCTGCCCTGCCAGCAGTGACCTCTGTCCTCTGACCTGCCAGCAGTGACCTCTGTCCTCTGACCTGCCAGCAGTGACCTCTGTCCTCTGACCTGCCAGCAGTGACTCCTGTCCTCTGCCCTGCCAGCAGTGACTCCTGTCCTCTGTCCTGCCAGCAGTGACCCCTGTCCTCTGCCCTGCCAGCAGTGACCTCTGTCCTCTGACCTGCCAGCAGTGACCTCTGTCCTCTGACCTGCCAGCAGTGACCTCTGTCCTCTGACCTGCCAGCAGTGACCTCTGTCCTCTGACCTGCCAGCAGTGACTCCTGTCCTCTGCCCTGCCAGCAGTGACTCTTGTCCTCTGTCTTGCCAGCAGTGACCCCTGCTTCTCACCCTGCTGACCCCTTTCCTCAGCTCTGCTGTCCCCTGCGCTCTGCCCTGCTGACCCCTGTACACTGCCCTGCTGACCTCCCATTCTCTGCCCCCCCTCCCCCCAACATTTTTTATTGTACCCCCACATCAGACAGGCTAGATGCAGCCCTTCTCCAAGACCTAACATTTTCAAGCTTGCCGGAGTTGGGCTTTAAGGTCATTACATACTGATCCTGCACTCCCACGTTGGCTTGCATCTCTCTGTTGTGCCCACACCTCATCCTTGCACTGAAGCGGCAGAGTGGCGGCCGTGCCTTGAATATCCGCAGCACAGAAGTCAGGTGTCTCCTCAGCTGCAGAGTCACCTTGCCCAGCAATGAAGGTGAACGAGGAAAGAACAAATGAGGCCATCCTGCTCCCTGCTGTCCTCGTGTACATCTGTTGCGGATTTCACATTACAATGCACTCTGGATGCAAGTCACAGAACCTATTCTGCATCTGTGATCTGAGTTGTGTAACAATGCAGGCAGAGGAGGGTGTGCCCAGATGGGACATTAGGGACATTCCCGTCCTCATTACCATCCCTAGAGAGGCAGCGCAGAGCCATCTGGCTGCGGCACCCATCCACTTCACCGCATGCAGCCTCTGCCAAGTCGAGGTCCTGAGACAGACCTGATATCAGTAGGCAAAAGGCCCCCCTTACATACAACATATACACATACAGGGTTTATGGGAACAAAAATCTAAAGGGACCATGTGAAAAGGACCGTGTCCAACTGACAAGCACAAGGAGCACCCTCCTAAATAAAAAAGGTGTAAAGGTGAAGACACAGATCACTTAGGATGGATTTGTACCAATGAAACGCACACATTACCGCCACGCACTGTCCATGTCCATTGCCATTCATTCATTTTTTGCATAGACAAAGCATCCGGTTCTCATTAAACCTGGGTTCACATAGGTGCGGCTCCAGGGGCGGACTGACAACTCATGGGGCCCCCGGACAATAGGGGATCATGGGGCCCCTGTGTCCTCGCCCACATTCAAACCACACCCAAAAAAAGCATATGAAAGGTACCAGGGGCATCTCATGGGGCCCCCTACTGACCCCAGGCCCTCGGGCAGTGCCCGAGTTCCCAAATGGTCAGTCCGCCCCTGTGCAGCTCCATATATCACATGTGATTCGCACAGTAACCGCATTCCTGTGCAAATCACATGCGGTTTGTGTGCAGTGCGATCGGAGTCATACATTTTGTATGGCTCTATGCGCACCTCACCAAAAACATGCAGGACCCTTTTTTTCGGTCCGCACTAGAATCGGAACGCCTAGGTATTCACACCTATGCGATCCGATTCTGCACATTGCACCGCGTTTTGCGGACTGCTTTCGGGGTGTTGTTAACTTAACATACACACCCGCAGCAGTTCGCATAAACTGGGTGCAATTTTGATGCGGTGCGGAATTCGCACTGAAAACGCTGAGAATTCCACACTGCATCAGTGTGAAACAGGGCCAGGGGCGGACTGACCATTTGGAAACTCGGGCATTGACCGAGGGCCCGGGGGTCAGTAGGGGGCCCCAAGAGATGCCCCTGTTACCTTTTTCATAGGCTTTTTTTTAGTTTGGGCAAGGACATGGGGGCCCCATGATCCCCTATTGCCCGGGGGCCCCATGAGTTGTCAGTCGGCCCCTGACCAGGGCTTAACCTGAACTCCAGGATAAGCAAATATGATCTTAGTACATTCGCTGTGTATTCTTACTAAATCTCAGTGTGCTTTGTGTATTTCTTCCAGATCTGTGCAGTAATCCAGTGTGAGACTTTACCTCCTGTAATAGAGACCGCTCAATGCTGATCTCTCTCCTTGTGCAGGGTGACTGGTCTGCTCTCCACCCCCTTCTGTAGTTTTCTGCAGGCAGCCTGTGGTGGGTGGGTCCTACTGCGCCACTCCCACAGCTCTGCTCTCTGCACAGGATAGTCATGATGTCACTACTACTTTTACATGCTAATATCTGGGTTTGCAAATATATTTGGTGCACACAAAGTAGATTTATATCCTTTTTTTTGCCCTTAGTCCTGGTTCACACTGATGCAGTGTGGAGAACCGCAAGTGATTTGGACAGGAATCACATGCAATTGTGAAAATGATTTGAGCCCATTCATTTTGCATGGCTCAAATCGCACTGCACCTGCACAAAAAAGGCGCATGCACACAGTGGAATAGGACTGCATGGGTGTTCACACACATATAATCCAATTCGGCCAATCACACTGCATTCTGCAAACCGTTTTTGGGGTGTCATTGAATTAACATTGAAACCTGCAGCAGTTCTCAGGAGTGGAGTGCAATTTTAATGCGGTGTGAGAAATGCGCAGGAATCACTGCAAATCCTGCACCGCATCAGTGTGGACTGGGACTTACTGTCAAAAGGATAAGGAGGTGCACATCAGCCAATAGCCCAGTCACAGTGTATACAGGATCAGCTTTAACTTGTTTCCTCCCAAGCCACACCAAGCTGACGCGTTTCACCCTCCCACGGGCCTAGTTCTATATTAAAGTATTACTAAACCCACAACAGTAAAATCAGTCTGTATATGCAGCAAGGCATGCTTGTTATACTCACTGTGGAACCTAAGGGGTTAATCCTCTGTATTGTGTAAAAAAAAAAAAGCCGTTTGATCCTGTCTTCTCTGCTCCTCCTCTTATTCAAATGTCCACGTCTTATCTCCTGATAAGACATACTGAACCCGTAGCCACATTCACATGCTCAGTTGAGTGTGTATTACTAGAGAGGTTTTTTTTTTCTTGGGAGAGTGCATATGATCAGCACAGAGCCAATCAGCACTGTCCAGACAGAGGTCAGGGGTCCTGCATCCTCCTAGAGCAGAAAGAAAACTCCTCCTACAAGCTTTAACCAGTGCTCTGCTGGAGACTGATAGAAGTCACAAGACTCCTATGTATTGCTGATGAGAAAAGGTATTTAGCAGTTTATATCTACTATAATAATTGCTTTTCTATGTTCTATGTACTGTGGGTGACCAGATATAGTGAATGCAGGGTTCGGGGAGCCAGTTATAGTGATTGCAGGGTCCGGGGAGACCAGCTATAGTGAATGCAGGGTCCTGGGAGATCGGATATAGTGAATGCAGGGTCCGGGAGACCAGATATAGTGAATGCAGGGTCCGGGGAGACCAGATATAGTGAATGCAGGGTCCGGGGAGACCGCATATAGTGAATGCAGGGTCCTGGGAGACCAGATATAGTGAATGCAGGGTCTGGGGAGACCAGATATAGTGAATGCAGGGTCTGGGGAGACCAGATATAGTGAATGCAGGGTTCGGGGAGACCAGATATAGTAAATGCAGGGTCCGGGGAGACCAGATATAGTGAATGCAGGGTTCGGGGAGACCAGATATAGTGAATGCAGGGTCCGGGGAGACCAGATATAGTGAATGCAGAGTCCGGGGAGACCGGATATAGTGAATGCAGGGTCCTGGGAGATCGGATATAGTGAATGCAGGGTCCGGGGAGACCGGATATAGTGAATGCAGGGTCCTGGGAGATCGGATATAGTGAATGCAGGGTCCGGGGAGACCGAATATAGTGAATGCAGGGTCCGGGGAGACCGGATATAGTGAATGCAGGGTCCTGGGAGATCGGATATAGTGAATGCAGGGTCCGGGGAGACCGGATATAGTGAATGCAGGGTCTTGGGAGATCGGATATAGTGAATGTAGGGTCCTGGGAGATCTGATATAGTGAATGCAGGGTCTGGGGAGACCAGATATAGTGAATGCAGGGTCCGGGGAGACCAGATACAGTGAATGCAGGGTGCTGGGAGACCAGATATAGTAAATGCAGGGTCCGGGGAGATCAGATATAGTGAATCCAGAGTCTGTGAAGACCAGATATAGTAAATGCAGGGTCCGGGGAGACCAGATATAGTGAATGCAGAGTCCGGGGAGACCAGATATAGTGAATGCAGGGTCCTGGGAGATCGGATATAGTGAATGCAGGGTCCTGGGAGATCGGATATAGTGAATGCAGGGTCCGGGGAGACCAGATATAGTGAATGCGGGGTCCGGGGAGACCAGATATAGTGAATGCAGGGTCCTGGGAGACCAGATATAGTGAATGCAGGGTCCGGGGAGACCAGATATAGTGAATGCAGGGTCCTGGGAGATCGGATATAGTGAATGTAGTTTTGTACAGAGGAGGAAGGGTTAGAAGCACTGTCAGGTTTTATTGCAGTCTTTATGCAAATTAGGGAGATGTTTGCCCAGGAATGGTTGTTAAATCCTGGTGTCTTTGGTCGCTATAACTTTCACGTAAACCAATTAATTTACTTATATTGGGATTATTTTTTAGCAACGACATGTAGCAGAATACTATTATTAATATTGGCCTAAATTTATGATGAAAAATTCGATTTTTTTATTTTTTTTATTCGACATGTTTTATAGCAAAAAGTCAAAAATATTGGGGTTTTTTTTTTTTTTTCAAAATTGTTGGTCTTTTTTTTTTTATAGCACAAAAAATAAAAACTACAGAGATGATCAAATACCACTGAAAGAAAGCTCTATTTGTGGGGAAAAAAGAACATACATTTTATTTATGTACAGCATTGCATGACCGCGCAATTATCAGTTAAAATAACGCAGCGCCATATCGCAAAAAAATGGCCTGGTCAGGAAGAGGAGGAAATCCTCTGGAGGGCAAGTGGTACATTACAGGCTAAGCGAATTCCTCCGTGAATTTTTTATTTAACCGAAAGGCAGAATGATATACATTAAAGGTCTGCAGCTCATCCACAGGGCAAATATATATATATATATATATATATATATATATATATACTGTATATTGTGCTACAAATTCCTCTAACGGAAAAAACATTATTTTCTGATCCCCAAAGGCAACTATATATTCCCTGAATCAACAATCTATGGTGTTATTTCTAATAAATATTAGCCAGTTAAATTTTCTGCATTTAGGATCAAATTTAGAGTTGGCTAGAACCAGCTCCTGTGGAAGTCTATTAAGAAACCTTTCTGTATGCGGCGTTTAGACCTCATTTATTCCAGACACAAAGAGAA